GCGCCGCGGTCAGCGGCTCCGCGGCCGAGAACGGCTCGAGCGCGACGGGCGCGCAGCGGCGCACGGCGTTGAGGAGCATGGCCGTGACGCCGAAGACGCCCCAGAACGGCGCCGCGCCACCCGCGCCGACGCCACCGGCGCGCGACCCGCCGCGGGCCACGGCCATGGTCATGCGCGGGCCGGGCCGCCGCCGGCCGGCGCGGCCCGCACCCGGCGCGCCGCCCTCCCGCAGCGCGCCGGCGCGGGTGCTTTGTATGGGGAGCAGTGCTTGTGCGCACGACGCCGCGAGGCAGAACGCGACGAGCCGCCGCGACGACGCGCACATTGGTGCCATTGCGCACGGCGACACTTCACCAAGGGAAACATGAACCTCGATTGAAGCGGGTTGCAGTTTTTTCTCCCGTTGCTCGGCAGCCTCGCATTCTCGCGGCGGCCCTCGCGCTCCGACACCATGGGGGCCATGGCGTCGCAGAGCTACTGGGCGAAGCGGGGCGTCGCCCTGGCCCAGGGCCGGCGCATGCTCGGCGAGTGCCCCGGCCTGCGGCCCTGGCACCTGCGGCGCCTCTACGCCTACTTCCGCCGCGCGGACAAGGACGACAGCGACTGGATCTCCGTGCTCGAGTTCCTCATGTTCTTCGACGTCGAGCGCTCCGTCTTCGCCGTCAAGGCCTTCACGTCCATGGACGCCGACGGCGACCAGCGCATCGACTTTTCCGAGTTCGTCCGCGCGACGTGGAGCTACGTGTCGCTGAGCAAGGCGGGCCTCGGGGCAGGAAAAGAGTGCTTCAATTTCGCTTCAACGTGAGCGTTCCACGCGCGCGCGTGCCGGAAAGAGCATCCACGCTCCGAGAGATGATCGCTCGTCCAAAAATTAGCCGAAACGAGTGGAAAACGACCGAGAGATGAGCCTCCAAAGTTGGGAATTTCGCACTCTTTTCCTGCCCAGGCGGGCCTCCGCGAGTTCGCGTTCCACCTCTACGACCTCGACGGCAGCGGCCACATCGAGCGCTTCGAGGTCGAGGC